CACAGAGCCAAAAACTAATAGGCAATATTTATAGACGTACCTCTAATAGGTTCAAAATAAATATCCATTTATGCAATGGATAGTTAAAACACTGAATGCCAAGCATTGCTAGCCTTTAGAGATACGATGGTGATCATTACAGTGAGTCTGTAACAGTGGTTATCAAAATGTGGCTTCAGAACAAATAGCATCAGAATCAACCTGGGAACATAATAAAACTGCAAATTCTCAGGTCTAACCTCAAACCTACTGAATCAGAAATTCTGGAGGTAGAACCAACTAATCTGTGTTTTAACAAGCTCTTGAGGCGATTCTGATACATGCTCAAGTTTGAAAACTGCTGCCTGTAAAAGAGCCCCCCATCTTATATCTTAGAAAATTGAGGTTCAGAAAATATAAGACTTGAAATACAAAAGACTTTTTTTTCACCATGTATTCCTCAGAGCTTAGAAAAATGTCTGGCATATAATAGGGGCACCTAATAAAATTTGATATATGAAGAAATAAATTAAGCTTCTGAAGAGTTTTGCTATCAGTCAATTATGGTAATAGCCAAGCACATAATCCTAATGTGTTGAAAATGTACATTATTGATAATATATTTCTTCTGAAAATAGAAATGTTCATCAGGACATCAAGAATTATAATTGTAGGGCAGCCCCTGTGGCTCAAAGGACTAGGGTGCCAGCCCCATATACTGGAGGTGGTAGGTTCAAACCCAGCCCCAGCCAAAAAGAATTATAATTGTAGGGCGGCGCCTGTGACTCAGTGGGTGGGGCGCCGGCCCCATATACCAAGGGTGGTGGGTTTGAACCCAACCCTGCCCAAACTGCAACAAAACATAGCCAGGTGTTGTGGTGGGCACCTGTAGTCCCAGCTACTCGAGAATTGCCTAAGCCCAGGAGTTGGAGGATGCCGAGAGCTGTAACGCTACAGCACTCTACCGAGGGCCATAGAAAAGAATTATAATTGTAAAACTATTATTTTTGACACATTCACAAAAAAGGAGGTCACTAAAGGTGATAACTAATAAAGCTTCAGTTTTTCCATACCTTGCTGTCTTGCCTTAACTTACTTAACTCCAGTTTATACTTTTCCGCTTCTTCTAGAGCTCTATTCAAGCGAACCTCTGTAGCACTTTGGCTGCTTGCAGCCTGTTTTTGTTGCCGCCTTTTATTTTCCAACTCCTGTATAAGTAAAAAAAAATAAGGAACATTTATAAATGTATGTTCCCATTTTATTATTTTGCAACATTTTTCATAAACACATTTCTTGCT